GCTGACAATCTGCAGCTGCGCCAAACAAACCCTAACTCTAAAAGTAGAATAATTATAAACAGAGAAAAAATAAAAGCATGTAGCTATCATCCTAAAATTTGTGTGGCATAGCAGACCGCAGTCTGCTACGTTGGGGAAACAGTGCAGCATACATACTAATTATCTTAATTAAATAGTGATAAATAATACCAACAAAAAAAAAATATTTTTTTAGTGTGTTTTGGTTGAACAAGTAATGAGAGGCATCATCAACCAGTTAGCATAGAAAATTTTAAGAAATGAAACGTTCTACCTATATTTTGAACTCAATGCTGATGTAAATAGAAATGAATTTAAAATTGGACCTTAATATATGGATTGAAACAAATTGATCAGATTATTGTCTGAATTACATCAATTGATTTCTGCAAATCAAAAAAGGATTTTGCAGCTTGCTTAATTGGTAAAACACTGACAATTCATGGGGTTTGTATGATAATTGTCAAGTAAACAAGCTTAGCAAATTGCAATTGGTTCCCCTAAAAAATTGTCAGTAGTAATTTTTATTAACTTGATTTGTAAATTATAAGCCCAGAGTAATCAAGACTAGATGAATGAAGTCAGCAAAAGTAATAATTTTATGAACTAAAAAAGTTCAAAGATTAAACTTAAGAGTTAACATCATATACAGGGTAGGGCTTGTTATTGATGTCCTCGAAACAGAAGTGCTTAACTTGACAGAAAAAAAAAACAAAAATAAAAAAGATATTAGTTCGCAAAAGCTGATACGTAAACAACGAACTCACATCAAAAGCCGTCTCAAACAATTCGCATGGAACAGCTTCACAATTAGGGTAAGCTTTTGCTGCTGCGGATTCGCTGAACGCTCCCGGAAGACCCTGATTGAAAATAAACAAACAAAACAAATCATCTAAGACCAAATCACTATCATCCAAAAAGACAAATTACCAGCTAATCAGATTGTTCACCTGGTAGGCCACTCTAAGCCGAGATCTATTAACCGAACTGGATAAATCCGAGGCAGTAAGAGGCCCTACAGTAAAAAACGAATCTGCAAACATAATACAAGAAACTCTAGAGATAAAAAGTAAATCAGAACGTATACCCACTTCGTCGTGTTGGAGTATTGGAAGAAATCTCCGGCAATGATTCACTGAAGGTCCTCTTCACCTCAAGCGCCCTAGCGTCTTCATTTCTTCCCCTTCCATTGAGGCCTCCATCAGATTCGAAGCTGGCCATTACGAAGCCATCGCTGCACCGCCTGAGAGAGATCCTCCGGGGAATTCGAGAGGTTTTCATTGTTCCTTGGGCGAATTGCGAGTGGGGTTCAATAGATATGATTCGAGTGCCGGCCGTAGAGGCCATGGTTGGAGAAGGATGTAGCTCTCAGCGATGGCTGTAGCCGACAGTGAGAGAGAGAGAGAGAGAGAGAGAGAGAGAGAGTTGGAGAAGGAGGCTTAAATTCCGGATTTGAATTTACTAAATTCAGTTTTTCATCCTATTTAGGGTCCGTTTTCAAATAATCACGTTGGTGTACGTGTAAATTGTGTTTTAGCAATTTATGTATTTTCAAGTCTTAAAAATGTTGAAAATAGTATTTTCACATTACACATATCCAGATGTTATGACGGGTTTCAGGTGATGGTCTTATTTTTCCAAAAAAATAAAAATTTGTAATAGTCACCGCACCAAACTTAATAACAGATTATTTTAATCAGTTTATAAGCAGATTATTCAATAAGCTGAAGTTGCCCCAAACAAACCCTTAATCAAATCCAAAATTTAAGTCAAAAAATAATTGAGAAAATTTTGAATTTATTAAATATGTATTTGAGATGATAACAATCTTCTTAAAAAATTGATCGTACAATTATTGTAGAGAAAGCAAGTTGAATCCAAAATTACCTGAGACACATCTAAGGAATAGAGTGATAAAAGGAGAGAGAGAGAGAGAGAGAGAGAGAGAGAGAGAGAGAGAGAGAGAGAGAGAGAGAGAGAGAGAGAGAGAGAGAGAGAGAGAGAGAGAGAGAGAGAGAGAGAGAGAGAGAGAGAGAGAGAGAGAGAGAGAGAGAGAGAGAGAGAGAGCAAGGAGAGCAAAAGCCAGTAAATTCACGTAATTTTTATTTATGAAATGGTCCTACATTTATAGGAATGATCAAATGTATAATTATATATTGTATCCCTTGTATATATAGATATGGTGGGGGTTATTTTTCTGAATACATGAATATTGGGTCGGAAGTCCTGAAGACTCCTGGCCGGACGGAGCCGGAGCCGGAGCCTTTCCGGACAAGATCGGGTCCCTAAGAAGATGTCCGGCTGGACAGAACAAGGTCGAGTCCCTAGAAGACGTTGGTTTAACCGGAAAATGTAGGGTCCCTAAGAAGACATTCGACATGACAAAGCTGGGTGCCTGTGATAGCGTCCTGCCTCACTTCATTTTGATCGAGCGGCTTCACGTCAATTTGACTATTTGTTGAGAGTTTATCCTTATACAGATCGAGCGGAAAGCTCTGACCAAATATTTTGGGGCCGAGTTTATCCATGTAAGTCTTGTGCCGGCAGGTTGATTTCTAGAAAGGTGGCCGTATTTTATCCAATTGGGAGACACTTTTCTCCTAGTTTATGGGAGTCTGCAGGTTAAGTATTGGATATCGGATTGTCCCTGGTGGGTCGTCACGATGCCACATCATCTTCTTCCGCCAGCGTTGGGATATCATTAAGATTCATGCTGACATATTTTTGATAACAGATTGAAGTTACCTTATTCTCTTACTCCTTGATGACAACAACTATGATAAGGGCAATGGGATCTTAATTTTTCAAACAAGTCAATGATTTTCATGACAATTTAATGTGCAATAATTAGCTACTTCTTGATTATTGTTCCAAGGCCATTATAAATAAAAAATGAGATATGAAGACTCATCATTAACACGTCCCTTTGCACTGATCTCTCATTTTCTTTGTGGCTCTGAATATTGAGCGGGACAGCTTCCCAAATCTGTGAGTGAGGAAGCTCGTGTTATGGCATTCCATGCCATGAAGAAGAGGGCCAAGTCAGCTCCTAGAGGCGAACGACTCGATAAACATATTGTGCCTGAGGTGAAGGCTTTCGAACATCTGGTCAAGCTAGGATCGTCGAATTCAAACAATGGTCATGTTTTTCATGAAGAAACGTCGTACGATGGGAAAACCCCGTCTTGATGACGATTAAACAGAGCAAACATTTTGTCCTTCAGTTTTTCTCGAGATGAGGGTGGGGCAGGATCAAGAGCATGCCTTTACTTGGTACCTCTGGAGGCTCTGGTTACCAATGACCAAAGGGATCCCCCTGACCTTCGCTCAATGTACACTTCCCAATTCATTTCTCTTCTTTTGTCGGAGGCGCGGGAGGATAGGGAGGGGGGCACACCACCTCAGACATGAATAAAATCATGGGCCACTATTCACATCAGAGTACAAAGACTACTTTCCACTAATTGTGACACTACTCAAACCAGAGTTGCAGCGGATCTGGGGTCGACCGCATTTTCCAAGCGTCTTGGAGGATCGCGCGGTGATGAATCGATAAGCTTCGCAGTCGATCTGACAGAAATGACAAGTGTGCCAAGACTATTTGTCTTGGTTGAGCTTCATCTTCATGAGGTTGAGGCTCCATCAGATCAAGAAACAAATCTTCTTAATTTCCAGAAATGTACGATTGGATCGGTTGGAGGAAGAATTAGTCGCGGTTCGGGCTCGTGAGTTCACTCCTCTGGAGCAGGTGACTTCTCTAAGGGCTGAGTTAACAGCCGTCGAGGAGGAAATTTTGATTTCCTCATATTTTGAGATGAATATAGTATATAAGGTTAGGATGGGAGGAGAGTTGATGTAAAAATGGTTGTCTCAGTTGGGGTTCATTGAGGTTGAGGCAGTAAATGTTAGTTTTATATATTTTTTTTCCTTTTCAACTAAGTAGTATTTAATGGACGAATTTTCTTCTCGGGCGATTGAATGGTTGCATCCAAATAAAAAAAGGTGTAAATATTTATTTTTTTTAATATCTTCATGTATACATTTTTAATTCTTGGTCCATCGATAAGTGTGTTGGCTTTGACGCTTTATCTGCGCTTCGATGTGGCAAAAATACCCTACTTTACTTGTGTAGCTTTGACTTTAATTATGTGTTATAAGTGTGAATCAGTTGATTTGCTCCTTATATTGACTTCCTCCTCCTCAATGTGACCCTTCTTCTTCTCCTCGTAACTTGTGGCTCCCAAGTATTCCTCAAAACTCGTTGGCGTGAACTTACCAGAGGTTGTGTCGGTTGTTTTAGAGGGGCGCATAACGAATTTACATAAGTCATTTTTCTCCGGGCCTAAAGCCTATCTTCAACGACTGCAGAGGGTGAGAAATCGACGAGCAATTTTGGCACCAGCCTTGTCGTGATTGTCGATTAGTTTCAAGACAGTTTGATGCTATCATTTTCCAGTGAGATGAAATTTATCTTCAATAGTTATAACGTCATCCTCCCCCAGGTGACACCGAATTATGTTGTGAAAATCATGAGTTTCATCATCTCCCTCGGCAGCTAGAAATACCATGGTCCATCGAACTCTTCTCCTATTTTTTTGGGTTCAAAGTGGATAGGGATTGCTATATTGTTTTCTTTTTAGATCCGAACTCCGAGTGGCTGGGGTCGAGAGTAAGGTTAAGGACTGACAATTGAAGTTCGTAGTAACACGCATAGGCATGGCTAAGAGAGTTTTGTCTGACCCATTACTAAAGAGGTGAAGAGATTAAAACTTTTTTTGGAGCACGTCTGATGCTATGCTGAGATGATTAAGGGGGGGAGGGGGGGGGGGGGGGGGGGGGGGGGAC